TGTGGAGCCAACGCACGCTTCTAGAATCGTACAAGAAGTGACCTCTGCTTTAGAGGAACTTCGGGGTGCTTGGGTGGCCAGGGAAGATGGTGACGCGGCCCCTGAAGCGGTAAAAGCATCTTCTTTCCAGCAGCACCTCCCAACTCCCACGGACCTCACTGAAAGTGAGAGGTCAGTCGAGAATCCAAACCTAAGGCGAAGGTCAAGGAGCGCGGGATCCCATCACGGTAGGAAGGTCAAGAAGGAGGAAGCTGGGAGGAGGGAAAGGACAGAGGCTCAGAGAACTGGTGTGGAGGTGAGAGAAGCCAGAAGAACAGAGGGGTCCGAACGGCTGACGTGCCCCCAAGGAGCACAGTCCTACTCACTGGCCGGCCCGTCTCGGACCTCGGCTTTGGAAAACGGCTGCCGGACTCTGACGCCCCCGCGCCCTACAAGTCAGAGGTACACATACCTGCGTCCCCCAGTGCGCAGGCGCAGAAGCCAGCCAGGGGAGTCAGGGGGCGTCGGCCGACACCGCCCTCCCTCCAGCCAGTCTCATCGCGTTCTCGTGGCGCGCTCCCGATGACGTCAGGGGTGCGGCTAGATGCCCGTCTCTCACTACAGGCGCTTCCGGTTTCGACCCCGCCCACTTCCGGATCTCCTCGGCTTTGGATTGTCTGGGCGCGAATTTCCCTGAGCGCGGCTCCCGGAAAGGTTCAAGAGGAGTCGTTGGTCAGCAGTGAAAGCGCTTCTCCTGCCAGCGGGTCCAGGTTGGGGGATGAGTTTTGTGGCGAACTCCGCGGTTTGCATTTGAGGAGCGTAGGGTTATTTTGTAAGGGGAGGGAAATGTGCACAGGCCTGCCCTCCGGAGCCGCGGATCGCAGTATTTGGTTCGCGAGGAGGGAGTGAAGCCACGCAGGGTTCTCCCCTCTTTCCCCGACTCATCCTCATCCTCCTTCCTTAATCTCTCCCGCAGCCAGGCGTGGGGCGAAGTGCAGCCGTGGACTTCAGTGTCTTGGGCCTTGAGTTGACTGCGGTCGGCAGCGTCGCTACCCGGAGACTTTACTTGTCCAGAGGTAAACGTCGTGTGTGTGTGTGTGTGTTGCCAGACGTCGTGATCATCTCTTGTGCCCATAGGGGTCTAGATTGAGATCCTTGGTTCCCACGAGTTTTAGCAAGCTGGTGAAGAATCAAGACAACCTGGGATGCCTCCCGGTTTCCTGCATGGTAAAGATCAAATTTTGGCTGCAGTATCCAGTCTGGCCGCAAACTACCGTTCCAGTCGGTATTTCTCTCCATTCCCCCCACACATGCTAAAAGTCTTGCTGAACTTTTCCTGTCCCTAAGCCCACCAGTTTCTTTCAAGCTGTCCTGCATCAGGCTTTTCCTGTTTTCTCTCGAATACTTCATTCCCCTTCCTTCTGACTAAATGTTTCAAAATGTAATTCAATTATTACTTTTTATTACTTTTTATTTTTTTATTTTTATTATTACTTTTAATTTATTACTTTTTTCTCTGAATACTGTATTTTCTCCGAATACTCCTACTGCACACATACACACCAATTTGAGATCATCATTCACTCATTTGTCTCTTATAACATGTCTCATTGTCAATATAATTGGTTATAGTAATTTTTTTCATGTATGTCTTTACCCACTACCACTAGGCTTTGGTTTCCTGTGGAACTAAAACAGGGCGAAATTTCTATTCCTTTTTGTATATGCTACCACCAGCCCAATAGTGATAGAAAATTATGGCTTTTATTTATTGAGTTCTTACTATGTCCCAAGTATTGTTCGACCTGGGGCTATATCACACCAGAGGACATTTGATAATGTCTGGAAACACTTTTGGTTTTCACAACTGGGGAAGGTGCTGCTGGCGTCTAGTGGGTTAGACGCCAGGGATGCTGCTCAATATCCTGCAGTGCACAGGACAGCCCCTACACCAAAGAATTATCCCATCCAAAATGTTAATAGTGCCGAGGCTGAGAAATCTATGGTTTATTGCCTCAACTAGGTATCAGCGAAAACAGTGCTTCTCAAACTGTGGTGAAGGACCAATTTTTGTTTTGTCTTTAAATAAATCAGTCACAACTGACACTTTTGTAAAATACAATTAAAAATTAATTACTAGTCAAATCCATAGAATGTACAACAGCAAAAATGAACCCTAATGTAAACTATAGACTTTGGGTGATATGATGTGTCATGGTAGTTTCATGGGTGTGAAAAATGTGCCACTTTGATGTGAGATGTTGATAGTGAGGAAGGCTGGGGGTAGGGCAAGGTACAGGGGGTATACAGAAAGTCTACTTTCTGCTCAATTGTGCTGTGAATCAAAAACTGCTCTAAAGTCAATTTTTAAAAAAATAAATTACTAGAAAAATGAAACTTAAAAAGACAAAAAACAAAGCAGTTATTTTATGATCAGATTCAATGTACATAAAATTGTCACATTCCTGTAAAAGTTTCTAAGTGAATACTTCCAATTTCTATATTTAAAAAGACTATAATAAATAGTTTGCAAATCAAATTTGGAGTAGCACTGAATTACGTGTTATTAAATCAAGAATATTAAGAAAAAATGATTAACAGAACCAAACAATAAATAAGTGCCAGCTGAGAGTCAGAGACCATAAGATCCCACAGACTTTGAGAGAGCAATGAAGTGGAGTGGTTAGGTGTGGTTAGGAAGGCTTTGAGGAGCAGTGGCTCATGATCTGACAGGGTGGGCAGCTCAGGTAAAGAGTACCGTATGTGCATTACTCAAAGTGTGTTCAGGAAATCATCAAATCTTGCTAGAGAGAGAGATTCAATTAAGGAATAGTGTGAGAGAAATATGGAAAGCTAGGCAGGGCTGGATTGTTAAGGACTATAAAGAGTTGGCTCTTGAAAAGTAGGTATTGGGGAAGGATTTTTTTTTTTAATTAAAGAAAAAAATAACTTGTTCCAAAATTTGGGATGGGAAAGGATTTGGTAGAGCTGGCTCTGGTCTTTTGCATGCAGTATCAGCTGCAGCATCGTGGCTCAGGTACCTACAGCAGGCTGGCAAGTTGGTGCTGGCTGTTGGTTGGGAGTTCAGCTGGGGCTTTTGCCTGGGCTTCAGTTCTTCTCCAGTTGGCTGTTATCATTGCATGGTAACTGGGTTCCAAGAGCAAATATTTCAAAGAGGAAGTTGCAGCTGCCAGTCTCTTCAATGTCTGGGGTGGTAAACTGGTACAGAATCATTTCTACCATATTGTACTGCTCAAACAGACGCAGAGTCTGCCAAGATTTAAGACAAGGGGACTAGACTCCACCCCTCAATAACAGGAGTGAGAAGGAATTTGCCCCATTTTTTTTTTTGGTGAGGAAGATCAGCCCTGAGCTAACATCCATGCTAATCCTCCTCTTTTTGCTGAGAAAGACTGGCTCTGAGCTAACATCTATTGCCAATCCTCCTCCTTTTTTTTTCCCCAAAGCCCCCGTAGATAGTTTTATGTCATAGTTGCACATCCTTCTAGTTGCTGCATGTGGGACGCGGCCTCAGCATGGCTGGAGAAGCGGTGTGTTGGTGCGCGCCCGGGATCCAAACCTGGGCTGCCAGTAGCCGAGCGCGTGCACTTAACCGCTAAGCCACGGGGCGGCCCAATTTGCCCCATTTTTAATCAACCAAGTGGAGTGAGGACTAAATCTCAGCCCTCACTTGCTCCCTCACCTGGATACTCTTCAGTGAACAACCTGAACTGCTGTACATGGCAGCCCTTCCAGGAGAGGTCCACAAGTGAAACTCTCATGTGGATTGGTTTTTAAGTAGGGAAGGTATAAGGACACAGATGTCAAGTTGAGAGAATTAGGCATTTCAGGAATGGAACACAGGAGATTGGATATAAAGTAAGGTACCACACGGTTCAAGAGCGGGGTCAAGTCTATTTTAGCTTCCACTGCTTTTTGTAACTGATCTGACGTCTAGTCCCCAATGTAGTTTGTGATCTTTCAACTAGTTCTTTCCCACTGTTTTTGTCAGTCTTGCTGAAAAGAAAAGGAAAAAAAATAAGCTTGAAACTTTTCCTTTTAAAATTTGAGACAATAGATTTATCCAGAGTACCCTCTTTATTGTCTGTCTCTAAATCTGTGCATATGTTTAAATTTATTAATATAATTAACTCTGAATTTTTTAGAAAAGGAATGGTGACTAATTTATATATCTAGCTGTATATTTGTAGGGAAAAAATATATATATAATGTATACACCAGACATATGTATGTATGTATACATGCATATTTCCATGTATACTATACCTAACTTCTAAGCTGTCTACTTGTGGTGTAATGCAAGAATAAATATCTTATTTTTCTGTTCCTTTTAGCAGAAATAAGTTTGGTGGTAAAGGACTATTAGATAGGGAAAAGGAGTTATTCTAAATTTTGTCACTAAACAGCCCCTTCCCTACTCCTGTCCCTGTTTCATAATTTGTAGGAGGACAGAGTAATCGGTATGCTTCAGACAGTTATAGCTTAAGTCCTTATGAGTGAATTTAACACATGAATTTCCACAACATAGATTCATAGTATAGTCCTAAAATTTATCTCCTTCCACCTTTGGCATAAGTTCAATGATAAATCTATTAGGCTTAAAATAAGAAGACCTGAGTATTACTCTTTGAATTGATGTTATCTGTGACCAGAGTAAGACAATTCAACACTTTAAATTTCCATTTTTTGAATTTAAACATAGAGATAATGTTATTGTAGGGGGGAGTGTAAAGTAAGAGATACGAAAGTATTTTTACATGATTATTAAAGTCATACAAATGGAAGAAATTTCTACAATGAAATAAATGAGATAGCCTACTCTAATGAGAATCAATGTTATTTTAAAATATGTTTAAATGTTTTAAAAACACAATACTATCCCAAAACTTTCATTATGGTTTTTTAAAAGGTAAATTTGAAACATTTATAGATAGTATTTTTAACAAAATGTTATGCAGTCTTAAGCATTTTTCTGCATCCTTTTCATCTTTACAGATTTTTTGAAACACTATTAGAATTGTTCTGTTTAGATCAAGATGCCTAGCAAGGCAGATGCTTCCAAGAAGAAGTCTCAACAGTTAAAAAGAAATCCAAAAAGAAAAATTGATGAGGAGGAAGTGGAGTTTTCAGAGAAAAAGGTAATGAAAATATCAAGTTTATCATTCAGAACTCTTTGATTGGAAATATCATCTGTAAAGGAGTATGTGAAGACTAACAGTCAGTTTTGCTACAAATTATACTAATTCATATAGTTGTGTGGGAGCTTGATAATATAATTCATATAGTTATGTTGCAACATGATTTGTAAAAGTTCTCAGATAAAAATTGTTTACTTCAATTTCTAAAGATATTGATCATAGAGTTCTTTGGGGAGGAGGGCGTCATGAGGCATTGCTAAGGTGTTTAAATGGAAGACTTGGAAAAAAGTGTGCAAATTCTATGGCATTCATATGTTAAAAGATGAGAACCCGGCCGTAGGTAGAAGAAATTTTTATTAACATAGATAAAAAATAGTTTGGGAGGAATTAGCTTCTTCCTACTATAATTTTGTGCCTTTCTTCTAAAAGAATAAATGAAATAATCAAATTTTTGTTTTACCCTGTATTAGGCAATGCCTATATTTGTTTTGCAGGTAAAGTATGTAACACTGTGTCACAAGCAAAATGAGTAATGATTTCTTTAAAACATTCTTCGACACCATATGAAATTCTTTTATACATTATCACCACTGTCCAGGATTTGCTTTAGTATATCCTCTGCCTGTGATAAATGCATACCCTTTTTCTGTAAAAGTGGCGATATACTTTTTTTCTACTTAGCCAGGAGGTGTATGACTCCTCTTCAACATACATGACAAATCTATTGCAAAAGCAGTATCTTTTTATCTGATGTTTAATTCTACGTGTACACATATTTTTCCCTCTAGGTTAGAGACACAGCGAAAAAAAATAAAAATCCTCCAAAGCGTCTGTCCTCTGAAGGTATTTCTTTTCTATGCCTTGTTTAACCTATCTTTCTCAAGCTATCTATCTTCATGAAAAATTTTTCAGCATCTTATTTATGAGTTCTGCAAAAGCAAAAGATAGTAATAAACAGTTGCATTCTCATTTTTGCAAGAATAAGTAGTACTGGTTAATCAGTTATTTTGGTCAACTGGAATTTTACTTACCACCTCAAGCAAAATACTGTGTAGGGTTCTAAATTGATAGGAACTAGAGAAAATCAAAGTGTCTCACAGTCTGAATTATTACTGGTCTGCGATATATGGACACACCTGCTGATTTCTCTTGAAGGCAAATATGCTTCTGTTCTGCCACCACTGTAGAGATTAGCTTGGAGCCACTGTCTAAGTTTGTTTGGAGTAAATTAGTTTGGAGTAGTCATCTTTACTTGAATGTGACTTCTTTGTGGAAGAACTTCCTACCTCTCCTCACTCAAGACCAGGTTAGGCCCTCTGGTTTTATATTTCCATAGTACACAATACTTTTTTTTTTTTTGTAATGCTTTGCATTCCTGTAATAATAATTTGTTTAATCTCCCTTCTGTCCAAAACAAATCTTCATGTGAGCCAATAGTATATCTCTTTTGTCTATCCCTTGTAGGTAGAACAATATCAACAACCTAGTAGACACAATGTCTATTTATGGTTTGGTTAACCTCTCCTGTTGCAGTCGGCATCCAACATTTGGTAGAAAAAGTTTTCTAGCCTTCTCAATGACACTCTTTGATTCAGGTCATTTCTGAGAACCAGACGTTTATGTTGAATCCTAAGAATTGTAGCTTGGTTCTTCATTTAAAATTTTCTTGGGTTTGAATCTGCACTATCAGTTAATGGTATTTCAGTTAACATAACGATAGATAGCATATTCATAGTCAACACCTGGCATGTTATGGCTGTGCAATAAAAAGGAAATTAAAGTTTATACAGCTTTATAATATTTTGGTTCTCATAATTCCATTAGCTTTTTTAGATAAATTTATACTTGAATCACTTTTTAAGTAAAAATGTACAAACTTCTAGATTGACCAGAGTCTCTTCTATCACCAGTGACAGGACAAACAAAGCATACTAATCTAAAACAGGTGAAGATAGCATCTGACAAGAGAAAAACCTGGCAACCTCTTTCAAAAAGTAGCAGAGAGCATTTGCAAACTATGATGGAATCAATAATAATGTGAGTATGAAATATTTCCATTTCACTTGTTTGATTTCTACTTATGTTTCCTATAGACAATATCGTTTTAAATGTTATCTGTTTTATAGTGATAAGGTATTTTTCTCTTTCAGAAGAAAATATAATGTCTTTTGATGGCATTAGCCTTGAGCAAAAAAGTCTTTGTTAATTTCAGAAACTTGGAATTCCATCAATGAAATAAAAATGAAGTCTATGTGGCCTGATCTGCTATCTGTAAACTTTTAACTTATTCTGTCATTAGAGATATTTTAGGAACAGGCTGAGTTCAGATTGACACTTTATATGAAGCTGCCATGCAAGAGGAGATAGAAAGAAAATAAGACAGATTCTGCCAGCAAGGAGCTGAAATCCATCAGAAGAGTCAGGCATACAAATTAATTATGACAGTATATGTGATAAAAAAAAAAACTTTGATTATATGTCTGCTTTAAAAATATTTAATATAAAAGGAAAAAAGGAAATATATAATTTCTGCCTGGCTAGTAAGGAAGGGACACTTGAAAGAAATCTGCCTGGCTAGTGAGGAAGGGGCACTTGAAAGAAATCTGCCTGGCTAGTGAGGAAGGGGCACTTGAAAGAAATCAAAGAGGAAAAGTAAACGTTGTATTAGCTGTGTTTCAAACTAATATTTATTCAATCTCTTTTTCTTTTCCAGAGCAATTTTGAGTAACAATGTTAGAGAAAATGAACAAGTTCAATATCACCTTAACTTCCTGAAGAAAAGGTAATATAGTTATGCAATAGAAAATGGTTAAAACATAATTTGTAGAAGTCTGACCTGTTCCTATGTTACAAGAACAGACATTTGTGTAATATAAAAGTTTTTCGTTTTAAGTTTTTGCTTTGTTGTTGTTGTTATTGTTGTTTTAAGAAGATGAACAATTAGGGAATTTTTGTACTTCCCTAAACTGCTGCTGCATATAATTCTGACGTAAGTTATGTTTAAAAGAATTCATAAAGAAGAATCTGAAAATGACAAATGCCTACTTCCACAGTTTACTTTTCCATATTGGAATTTGAAAAATATTTTTTCAACTTTAACTCCCTTCAGCTTCCTTTTGAACAACTAGAAGTTAACAGTTCACCACTCTTACCTGACATTTATCCTATCACTGTGTTTTTCCTTCATTTCATGTTGTATTACATTATTTGCACAAGCAACACATGTAATTTTCCAGGATGTTACTGCTCTTCATCTTGTAGCAGGTCACAAATGGAGGTTTCTTTTCAAATGTTCTTAAGTCACACCACTGCTAATGATTTTCAATGACTGCTTTTTTCTAGTATTTGCACAACTTTTTCCTTTTCATAGAAGAATGTTCTGCATCTTAGTTTCAGGCTTGCCCGGAAATGTTTATGACTTAGTACTTTATTCTTGGAAAATCTGGGCGCAAATTCTCCTTACTTTAAGTATAATTCTCAATGATAGTGGCTAAATGGAAAGGGTGGGATGGGATGGGGTGGGTGGGGGTGGAAGTTTGTGGATATAGGACCAATAGTCGTGTTTAGCATGTGAATGAGAATAGTACCTAATAGCTGCTCTTCTCAATGATCACCCTGGGTCATCAGAAAAGATTAAATTCTGTTCAACATATAGGCTGTCTCTTCATCACGTAGTACCCATGGAGACACATATTTTAAAGACTGCCTGTTGTTGCCTCAATTTTGCTTTCACAACTCAACTTTCTTTAGTTCCCAAAGGAACAATACTCAAGATACTTTCCCTTCTACTGATATAGCAGAGTACAGCCTTAGCAAATTGATTCTAACTGGATCTCTGAATAAATTTTCCTCTAGCAGCATTTCTCAAACTATATTTGGAACATTTGTTCTTAAAGATATTCTATGAATAAAAGTGATATATAGTGAATTATATTTAGGCACATTAGCATATTAAAAGTCCTGCAGTAAATAAATTTATTTCATTTTCTTTAACCTAGTATCTCCTAAATTGATATTACCACAAGAGTTCTTTTTCATATGTTAGGCACATCTCTGCCTCTGTCTGCGTGTTGCCTTCATTCTTTTATTGTCCTCATCAGATTAGAACTGTAGATATAGGCAGCTCCCTATTTATCTTTTCAGAGTTGTGAAGAAAGGAAAAAGAAAACTCTTATGCTTTTAGCTTCAGTTAGAAAATTGGTCCAGCTTAGGTGATGCATCTATCTCTGGACTGATTTTGTGGCAAGAGCTGTTAGGATTTGTATAGACTGGGTCACATGCCTACCCCCGTAATCAGACAGACAGGGTTGCTAGTCAAACAAAACGGTTAGCCACTACAATTTCTAGAGGAACATACTTTAGGAAATTCTGCCCTATAGAGACAATATTATAAATGGTGATCAGGTGTTGTTGATATAGTAAGATGTAGTCATGTTACTCTTGCAGTATAATAGATTTTGTAAGAATCTTGGAAATCTGACCACTGTCTAGAACATTTGAAACAGTGAATGACCCTTCCACAGAATTGACTTAATAATCTTTTAGAAGAAACTGTTCATAAGTGGAATCTTTATTTTAGTTAAGAAATCAAAAACTTATTTCTCGTGGGAAGACTTACACAGGTTCTTGTGCTTAAATGTGATAGCCTAATGATGATTTTCTGGATACCTGAAGTTTCCCCCAGCAGTTTAATGAAAATTATGATTTGTGGGGTTTATACTGCCTACTTTTTTCTTTACAAAAATTAATATTTTGAATAAGATCCCAGGAAAATAAGTCTTGCGTTCCACTATTATTCAAATTGCCTGCAAATCTTAAATAGAACTTTTTATAACCCAAAGATGCTGCTATTTGGTAGAAGCAATGAAATTTAGATTTTCCTCTTTGATTTCTTCCTCATGGAATTCAAAAAACAAATCTAGGGAAGCTATGTTGCTCTCTCCTAGAAGTGAGGGCAGAAATAGGTCAATTTCTGTTGGTGATCTAATCAACCCAAATTTGAAATAGGATTTTTTAACTTTAATGTTGAATACTATGCTTGTTGATAGTACTATAGAACAGAGCACTTTAATCTTTGTATTTTATTTGCCTTAAACTATATAGGAAACAGTTTTCTTTGAAATCATTAAGTTAGAGTAACTAATGTAGAAGTTCTCTTTTATTGGACACATTCTCTAAAACAACTGAGATTTAGAGCCTAGGGTCATAGTCAAGACTTACAGAGTAGTGCTCTATCTCTTACTCAACAATTCGCAATAATTGATAGACTTATGTGCTGTAATAGTCTAGGAAACACATTTAGAAGAATCAAGGCAATTTGACTTTAAAATGTATATAAATAAGTAATTGTTAAATGTGTACAATAGAAACTTTTCCTTTGATAAAGCAGCCTAAGTGCCCTATGATTTTAGGTAAATCTTACTAAGTTGAAAGGGTAAATGATGATTTGTGAGGGCTTTTTTTGACAGACTTACTGCTAAGGTCAGCCACTGTTAATAAAGAACCTCATAGCCCTTGGGAATATGAGGACAGAAAAAAAGATGGCAACAGTATTTCAAAGCAAAACAAAAAAACAAAAATAATACTAATGGTACTCAAAAATAAATAAATAACTATATTTTTATTCTGTCCCTAAGATTGCTACAACTGTGTGAAACCTTGAAAGTGCCTCCCAAAAAGCTGAAAGATTTAACTAATGTGTCAAATCTGCTGAAAATGGAAAGGGCACAGCACAGAGCTAATGAAGAAGGTCTGGCATTATTGCAGGTATGGGATTTGAACAGGGAGTCCATAATTAGAGAGTCAGGGGAAAGGGGAAGATACCAAAAAGTTTTTTAAATTATCATGATATTCTCCTGGTAATAAATACTAGATCTTGAACCAGATTTTTCATTAAATTCTTTTTTTTTAAATCAAAGCAAAAACATTGCCTAAACTTTGGGCCTCTAAAGTTAAAAGTATTTCTAATATATTAGTGATTAAGTAGCAATATTATTTTTCTCATCAGACTTTAACTATAACTGAACTTAGTATTTTTGATTATCACATTATAGGGAACTCATCACTAAATGCTATAGAATTTCAAAACATATTATATTAGTTTTTCCATCCTGTATATGGTACTTTATTGGCAAGAAGAAGACAGTCATCATCAGCAGCATTGTTATTATTGTTATAGCTAACCAGTGAGGGCTTTTTGTGTTCTAGGCACTGTTCTACACACTTTATAATTATATCCCTTAATCCTCACAATAACTTAGAGAGGTCTGTGCTATATTGTCCTCATTTTACAAATGTGAAAAAGAGACATATTGCCACTTCTAGCTGAACTTTAGGCAAACTGCTTAAAGTTGTGATGCAAACCTTAGTCTGACTTCAGAGCATTATTCTTAATCATTATCCTGTAGAAGATAATGGGAGATAACATTAGCTGTCGTGATTAACTTCAGGCTTTTAATTAGTGGATACTTGAACAATTAAGAAAAGCAATCTTAAGGGGCTTATTAAGTACAAAAACTAAAACAGAACCATATATCCCTTAGGCATTTTGAAGTAGTTGTTTTGTTTTGTTTTGTTTTTTGTGGGGTTTTTTTTTTGGTGAAGGAGATTGGCCCTGAGTTAACATCTGTTGCCAATCCTCCTCTTTTTTTTTTTGCTTGGGGAATGAAGTCGTTTATAGATGTAGTGCTTAGGTCTTTGTTAGCAATTCAGTAAACACAAGATGGTAGTAGTTTATGCAAGGATTTCTAATAATTCATTCCAATTTTTCCATATGACTGAGAATAACATTGGAAGGATTAGTTTCTGAGCAACAAATCTACATATGCTGTAAATTAATAAGGTATTATTTTTTAGTGGTTGCCTCACTTTCTTCATAGTGTGAGATTATATTTAAGTGTACATCGTGGTGATTTGATATATGTATACATTGTGAAAGGATTCCCCCCCATCTAGTTAATTAACACATCCATCACCTCACATTATTTTTTTTTTTTTGGTAAGACCATTTAAGTTCTACTCTTAGCAAATTTCAATTGTCTGATACACTGTTATCAACTATAGTCACTATGTTATATATGAGATCCTCAGACCTTATTCATCTTATAGCTGAAACTGTGTACCCTTTTACCAACCCCTCCCTATTTCCCCCACCCCTAACCCCTGGTAACCACTTTCCTACTCCCTGCTTCTATGAGTTTGACTCTTGTTAAGGTTATTTTAAAAGGTTTTAAAGTATAATAATGGTAAATGTTATTTTAAGATTTAATATTTCCATAAATCACTTGAAAGTAATTAGAGATGGTAAATGATTGTGTGATTTTTGTAATACTGGGAGGCATTTCTGTTTCACAGCTAAAATTAAACCTTCATGTGCCAAAAACATAAATACAGTTAAGTGGAAAAAACTGTTTTTCTATACTCACAACACTTCTGACACCAAATATGTGGGTTTTCCACAGCAAGCAATTCTCCAGTTCTCTGTGGACCCAGCTGGGTGTCCTACAATTTAATTCAGTTCTGACACTAACGACCTGGCAGTAGCACAGACCTCATAGGTTAAGGACTTAGTCCCACAAGACTGCCCCCCACTTCAGATGCCAGTTGCAAATCCGAGCCTCCTGTACTTGTGACTAACCAAGTGTAAATTGGGGGTACCCATAACCCCTTCTCGGGTTCAATAATTTGCTAGAACAGCTCACAGAACTTAGGAAAGCACTTTACTTACTATTACTGATTTATTATAAAGAATACAACTCAGGAACAGCCAAACAGAAGAGATGCATAGGGCAAGGTATTTGGGAATGGACCCAGAGCTTCCATGCCTCTTCAAACGTGCCACCCTCCCAGCACCTCAATGTGTCCATCAACCTGAAAGCTCTCCGAACCCCGTTGTTTTTATGGAAGCTTCATCAGAGAGGCATAATCAATCATTAACTAAACTTCCAGCCCATCTCCCCTTCTCAGAGATCAAGGAATGGGGCTGAAAGTTCCACCCCTCTAATCACACGGTTGGTTGCTCTGGCAACCAGCCTCCATCCTCTAAGACTCATTCATTAGTGAGCCATCATTAGCATAAATGCAGGTATGGTTGACAGGCTTATGATGAATAACAAAAGATGCTCCTTTCACGCCAGTCACTCAGAAAATTCCAAAAGTTTTGGAACTCTGTGCTGGGAACAGAAAAAGCAAATATTTTAACAAAATATTCTCCTATCACCTCTCCTGTCACCTCCTATCACTCAGAAAGTTACAAGGGTTTTGGAAGCTCTGTGCCAGGAACTGGGGACAAAGACCAAATATACATTTCTTATATCACAATATCACAATAGTCTATGGTTTGCTTGACAGTCAATTACTCAATGGAAGCACTGTTGGTATTTTTGGCATAGGAGCTCTTCAGTGGCATAAGAGTCTTTGAACTAGGGGTCTGTAGATTTTGTCTGTATCCATTAGTTTTCTCCTATGTGCCTTACTTAGAATCACTGCTTTTTCCCACTGCAGCTTAGAGTTATTGCTGGTAGTGACTTTCCAAATCCTGTATCAGCTATCAGGAACAGATGTTGTGTTCATTCAATAGCAACACATTCATTGAGCTCCCACCCAATGACGGTGCTGGGGAAAAGGCAGTGGTGAACAAGTCTCGGAGATTCTGAGAAGATGGTATATGAATTGATGAAGCATAGTGTTTTGTTTTGTTTTTTTTTGTGAGGAAGATCAGCCCTGAGCTAACATCCATGCTAATCCTCCTCTTTTTGCTGAGGAAGACCGGCTCTGAGCTAACATCCATTGCCAATCCTCCTCCTTTTTTTCTCCCAAAGCCCCCCAGTAGATAGTTGTACGTCATAGTTGCACATCCTTCTAGTTGCTGTATGTGGGACGTGGCCTCAGCATGGCCGGAGAGGCGGTGCGTCGGTGCGCGCCTGGGATCCGAACCCGGGCCGCCAGTAGCGGAGCGCTCGCACTTAACCACCAAGCCACGGGGCCGGCCTGAAGCATAGTTTTTTAATCTCTCTAGAAATCATCATAAAAACAAAGCCATAGAATTTCACAATCACAGTTAGCATAAGAAAACATAGGAATAAGGACAAAAAATAACATTCCTACAGATAACAAAAGCCTGCCAAAAATATGTGTTCACAAAACAGATGAACGCTAACCTAATTTCTCAAGTGAGCTGAAAGAAACTCAGAAAAACAATGGAAGGTATGGAAAAAAAATTCATATATCAGTATTAGAAATACTAAAAAATGAAGTTACAGAATTTGGGAAAATATTAGAAATAAAAAAACTTTTCAGGTGTGCAGACTAAATTAGGAGGAGCACTAAAGCAAATAAACAGAGCAGATAGTTCTTACAATAAATAGAAAGTAAAATAAGGAGAAAATTTTAAGAAAGACTGTTTAAAGGTATTGAGAAAAGTGACAAATATAAGTTAGGCAAAGAAGATACAACAAAGCTATGGTAGGAATACCCAAAGAAAATAACCAAAGCAATGGACAAAATAGATTTTAGTCCTTATTAACTCTTTTCTTCATTCAGTGCTGTCATTCATTCCCCTCTGTAGTGGGTTGAATGGTGGCCCCAAAAAAGATATGTTCAAGTCCTAACCCTGGAACCTGTGAGCATGACCTTATTTGGAAAAAGAGTCTTTCCAGATGTAATTAAGTTAAGGGTCTCCAGGTGAGATCATCCTGGATTATCTTTGGTGGGCCCTAAATACAATGACAAGTGTCCTTCCAGAGGCAGAAGTGTCCTTATAAGAGACACAGAGACATGGAAGAAAAGGCCACGTGAAGACAAATGCAGAAATTGGAGTGATGCAGCCATAAGGAATGCTGACAGCCATCAGAAGCTGGAAGAGGAAAGAAGAGATTCTCCCCTAGAGCCTTCAGAGGGAGCACTGCCCTGCCAACACCATAGTTTTGGACATCTGCCCTCTGCAACTGTAACAGAATAAATTTCTGTTCTTTTAAGCCACGAAGTTTGTGGTAATTTGTTATGGCAGACACTGGAGACTGATACATGTGGTTTACATTTTATTTATATTAGACAGCACTCTAAATCCAACAACCAATTTGCAGGAAATTCAGGGCTGAGGAGCAGGTTAAACTTGACCAGCAAATGCAGTCTGCAAAATTCTGGCTGTGGGAATTTCTACAGAGCAAACTGTCTAGTTTCATGCCAAATAAATGGGAAGAACCAAAAAATTGGAGCTGAAAACTAAATGAAAAGAGACTTAATACCCACCTATTAGAATGGCCAAAATCTGGAACATGGACAACACCAAATGCTGACAAGGATGTAGAGCAACAGGAACTCGCACACTGCTGGTGGGAATGCAAAATGGTGCAGCCACTTTGGGAGACAATTTGGCAGTTTCTTACAAAACTAAGCGTATTTTTGCCACACAATCCAGCAATCATGCTCCATGATATTTACCCAAAAGAGTTGAAAACTTATGTCCACACAGAATCCTGCACACGGATGTTTGTAGCAGCTTTATTCATAATGGCCAAAACCTGGAAAAAAAAGATGTACTTCAGTAGATGAATGGATAAATAAACTGAGGCACATCTAGACAATGGAATATTATTTAGCACTAGAAAGAAACGAGCCATCAAGCCCTGAAAAGACATGGAGGAACCTTAAATGCATATTATTAAGTGAAAAAAGGCAATCTGAAAAGGCTACATCCTGTATGATTGCAACTATATGACATTATGGAAAAGGCAAAACTGTAGTGACAATAAAAAGATCAGCAATTGCCTGGGGTGTGTGGTGAGGGTAGAGATGAATAGGCAGAGCACAGAGAATGTTTAGGTCCGTCAGTGCTTAAGCTTTGCTGGACTCACACACATCTTCCAGGGTCTCTGATACTAGGAGCTTTGGTAAGTTTTTGAGGAAACATTCTTGTACATGGTGTATATCTCCTTGTTCCAGGGAAATTAAGTTTTCTTATAATGCATTATTATATTGGTAAATCAGTTTCTAGGAAATCTGTTTTTTTGAAAGAAAAACAAAAATAAATTTACTAGTTTTTTCTAGAAGTGTTTCAATATATGAGGTGTTTTAAAAATCTGTGTATGTACATTAATATTTGTTTGGGTTTCATTTAATATATTTGGTTTAAAACATTAACTTTCTCTTTCTGCCTCAGGAAGAAATAGATAAAATAGTAGAGACCATAGAGTCAATGACTGAGAATATTCAGAGTCTGAAGAACGAAATTCAAATTCTGACAAGTGAGCTGGAAGAAGAGGAGGAGAAGGTAAAACAGGTAATTGTTTAAAAATGTATTGCCAGACTCGGGATATAATTTTTAATGCTTAGATTCTACTAAGACAACTTTTGAGTGTAATAAGAGGAAAGAAATTAGCCTTTTTAAGTAATCTGTAGCTTTCTTTTTCTACTTTAGATGTTTCAAATAGATGATAGTGGGGTACTGTCTCTTCCAGAACTTTCTCAGAAGAGTCTCAAAGCACCCACACTTCAGGTAAGTACTGGTTTACCATATTGACGGTATCACCAGTTATGTATTGCCTATATAAAAACATGATATCCCGAGGCCGGCCCCATGGCATAGTGGTTAAGTTCAGCATGCTCCACTTCAGCAGCCTGGGTTTGGATCCTGGGCACGGACCTACACCAGTCGTCAGCCATGCTGTGGCAGTGACCCACATATAAGTAGAGGAAGATTGGCACAGATGTTAGCTCAGGGCTAATCTTTCTCAAGAGAAAAAACAAGGAAGATTGGCAGCAGATATTAGCTCAAGGCTAATCTTCCTCAGCAAAAAAAAAAAAAATCCTATTTCTTTTTTTGTCTTTTAAACAAATGGAATCCTTGATGTAAAGTGTTAAGCAAAATCATTTTTCTCATGTGACAGTATAGTTTGAACATCTTTCTTTGTCAATTCCTGTAGATCTGTTTTATTCTTGTCAGTAGCTATATAACATTCCATTGTATGGATATACCATAACAAATTTGTGAATTACTGATGGAAATAAATAATTTTTGCAATTACAGATAATGCTGAGTACACCCTTGTACATATAGCTTTACACATTTGTGTAGTTGTAACTGTAGGATAGGTTTCTGGAAGTAAATTCTGACAGTTGCTTTTGTTTATACTTCTAACAATGGCCTTTAACTCTTCATAAAATAGTACTACATCTTATTTATAATAGACTGTACAGTGGTAGTTTATCTTTCTTCAAAGGACCCCAGTAGATATTATAGTATAAATGTTTATAGTGGTAGAAAGTCTTCATGTTTTCTCAAAAAGTAATTTAAAATTTTCCTATCTATAATCTACCTAGGGTGAAAGGAGTAGGAATGGGCAAAGGGAAAATAGAATAAGATAGATTTGAAAGAAGAATAGCAGTGAGTTGATGATTATTGAAGTTGGGTGATGGGTACATGAGGTTCATTATACCATTCTCTCTAAATAACATACATTTGACATTTTGCATAATAAAAAGTTAAACTCTAATTATATGAGTAAAGGTGGTCAAAAGGTACAAACTTTGTTATAAAATAAATATCTTGAGGATGAAAAATAGTGACTATAGTTAATAATACTGTATTGTATATTTGAAAGTTGCTGAGAGGAAATCTTAAAAGTTCTCATCACAAGAAAAAATAACTTCATAACTATGTGTGGTGATGGATGTTAACTAGACTTATTGTGGTGATCATTTCACAATGTATACAAATATCAAATCATCAGATTGTATACCTGAAACTAATATAATGTTATATGTCAATTATATCTCAATGAAAAAAGAATTTTTTAAACTAATTATACTATTGTACTCACAGAAAGAAATTTTGATGCTGATTCCAAACCAGAAGGCTCTTCTGCAGGACTTGGATGTTCTCCATAACTCATCCCAGATGAAGAACATGTTAACTTTCATCGAAGAAGCCTATAAGAGATTGGATGCCTCTTAAAGAGTTTTTTAGATTGTTCCATATTAATTTAATGTTTATGAATTTGTAAAACTGTTAACCTGTGGTGATATTGCAGAGGCTGAAGCTTCTTCACGATTTATTGTCTCCTAATATGCACTTTAAAATTAGCCTCTGTAGGTCTACCATTAGCATCTAATGTGGTCCTGAAAATTCTTATTTTGGCAGTTACCAAGTCTGGGAACTCACATTTATATTGCTGTATCTCCAGTGATTTGCCTGAAACCGCAAAGTAAGAACAGCCATAATCTAATGGTTTATAAAGGCTGGATAGAGCTCATTTATTGGTTAGCACAGAGGAAATGTGATACTGTGACTTAATGTATATAAAGTGTTTATAGTGCCTAGGACATAAAAACATAAGTGTTTGCTATCATTATTCTTTAGCTGATGACTTGCATTTTCTATCTGGTCATCTGGAACTTGAGAAAGCCCCAAATGCCTTTACCCTGTTACATAACTCCCTCGACTTCTGTGGCATAATTAAGATTTGCCAGATGTCTTTAACTTGGAGGTAGTATGAATATTTTATTTCTTTAGTTGGGTTAGTTAATAGTTGTTGAATATTTATTTTCCACTGCCATCAAAGCACACTTTTATTTCATAAAATTATTAAAAAGGAACCTAAGCACATTTATTCCCTTAAAACAAAAACCAAACAAAAAACCCTTCTTTCTAAACCTTTCCTTATTGTGATAATAAGCATATACATGTGAATAAATTGTCTCTTAAATATATTAAAAATCATTTCTAACCAACTACAGTATATTGTCTGGGTTGCTTTTATCTATTTGTGAAATAAAATAACTGCAATTTAATTATTTCTCTGTCTAACCTAGAATATTTTGTCAGTTAATTTAGAAGATGCCAAAATTCTGCTGATGCCCTCCAGACAGGCCACCAGGAACACAACCTTAGTTAAACAAGTTGGGCTTCATGATCATTGCAGTGAGAGAGACCACATGTCATGGGGAACACTCGGCAGCTCAGTAAAAGGATCAGAAGCAATATCCTCCTAGGAAATAATGGTCAAGGAGGACATTAATGGATTTTAGAGGGAAAGAAAGTCTTCAAGAAAGGAAACCTGTAGTGCAACATTTAAAGAAAACATTGTGTACTTTGGACTGCCTGCTATGTGCCAGGCAAAGCAACTAAAAGTAAAAGATATTACAAAATGTCTTAAAACTTAAAAACCCTTCTATTGGAAACTTAAAGCTTCATGTTCTTAGAATGACTAATAGAGCCTCAACTCACTAATTTTTATCATTAATTGTGACATTTGTAATAGCTTTTGGTGGGGAGGGAGGAGTTACATTAAAAGCCTATCGTTTCTCTCCGAACACATATTAACATTGAACGTGAACAGGAATTTTTACTCACCATTGTTGCTGAGTGATAGCTCTCCACCATGCATGAACTGGTCATACTACCCTCTTGTACCTTTGAAAAGTATGCGATCTAGTTTTGAGAGATCTACAGTATCTTCTGGCAGGTAGCAGGCGAGCCAAAATATACACTACTTTTTTTAAAGGCTGAATTTTGGTATGTTCTTTGTGAAGAATTTAAGAGTTAATTACAGACCCCAATAAAATTTAAAAATCAACTGCATGTGTTCCCAATAATTCAGATGGCTGTCCTACTGTGTAGTATCCCAACCTAAGTTGTCACATGCAGAGGCCACGCCAAATATGCTATAACTCCTCCAGTGCCTAAGTGCCAATGCCAGGAACTTTAAATTCTAAAAAATACCTAATTTAGGATGGAGGATATATAGTGTAAAAGTGTAGCATACGATAAAGATGGCATTTCAAATAAAATGCAGAAAAATATATTATTCAATAAATGGTCTTGAGAAAATTAGCCACACGGGATGAGGATGGAGGAGTGGTGGTTAATATTCCTACTTGATGCTAAATTAAATTCCAAATAAAATTAAATATAAAAATAGAAACTACAAAGAACTTATGAATGAATGTTGATGATGAAAGTGTAGCAAAAAGCCCTATTATGCATATAAACAAAGATAAAAACTGTAAAGGAAAAAAATTGAAAGATTATTACATAAAACTGAACTTTTTAAAATAAGATTTAAAAAAACCAAGCCCAAAACACAGCACAGACTGGAAAATATCTATAACATACATCAAACAAAGAAATAATATCCTTATTCATAAAGAGCTCTAAAATATCAGTAACAAATAGATTACCAATAGGAAAATAGGCAGTTCTCAAAGGAAGATACCTACATGGTCATTAAGTATTTGAAAGATGTTCAACCTTATAGTAATCACTTAAATGCAAATTAAAACAATGAAATGTTTTCACCTATCAGATTGAAAAAGGTTAAAAGGGAAAGTTGCTGAACATATAGGAAAATGGGTCTTAAGGAAGGAAGGCAAATTGGTGTAATTTGAGGGGGAGGCCGCCTGCACAGACACATTGCAGAGCCTTAGTGTCCTGTCAGTTATTTAAAATTCTTATATGAGCCCTTCTCCTAACTTTCGGTTGAGCTTGTGTTTAACAAATAGGTTTTGTTTAAATAAGAGACACCTGCACGGGAACATCAAATTTACTTTCCTCTATTTGGTTGGATAGAATTTCCCGGCATTCTCTATTTACCAAAAATAAATTCAGGTGCGCCTGTCAAAATTAGTATTTGACTAGCTCAGGTTGGCTTAGTTTCCAAACGAGTCTTATAAATCATCTCCTGTTTCAGTCATTGTCAAGAAATATTCAGCTCTGAGGAAAAGAGAGAGAAGAAGGAAAGCAAAAGTAGAGAGAAATTTAAATCTCCCATTTGGGCTTTATCATGACTAATGTGACTGAGCCCTTTTTGTGTTCCAGCTAGCTTTTCTTGTTAAGAGTTGCTGCCACTGAGTGTATTTCTTTGCTACTAAACCACCAGAGAACCACTTTCTCCTGGCTTACATGTTTGCTCTCCTCATTCAAGTGATCTCTCCTGTTGTCAAGGTTATGAAGTTGCTGTAGCAATCTTATCCAAAGATTGGTTATGGCTGTTAAAATTGAACAAAGGGGAAGATAAAGGTGAGATGTTTTTCAAATCCAATAAAACTACTATATGGTACTTTTTAAAAATGAAATTGTTCATTTTTTGGCTAATATAATAGAAACAAATGTGCCTTGGCCAATTTCACCCCATTTCCATCCTCAAAGAGATCCTTAAAATTAATGTAGGTTTTCAAACGGGACACCGGGTCTATGTAACAATAATAACAATGGTTAAAATGGCTGACATTTATCTGTGGGTGCTACGTGCCAGGCACTATTCTAAGCCCATTACATGTATACATGCATTTATACCAACGTTTAATCCTAATTGAAATCCTATGGGGATTAAACCTCTATTATCCTCATCCTACAGGTGAAGAATCTGAGGCACAGGGAGGCTAAGTAACTGTCTTAAGATCACTCAAATAATAAGTGGTAGAGCTGGGAAGTCAAAAATAATAATTGTAATTTTGACTTCTTAGGAATTTGCTGATAAAGAAGGAGCTACTGAAGCTAATGACTAAATCCTATTGCAACAAAGTACAAGTCCCTCTATTTCTCCAGGTATAATGATAATAGGTATCATGGATTTGTTCACAAGGATTTATAAAAGAAAAACTCTTTAAATTTATCTTACATTAGTAACCTCCTTTTATCCCCCCCCCCTCTTTCTCTTTTTCCTTTTAATCTCAGAGTTTAAAGTTCAGCCTAGCTTGATGGACATGTTTCAAATTTAATTACCTTCAACCAATGCAGTTTTCCTGGAAAAGTAATATGCTTTGTCTTTTTGGTTCTTTTTCCTTATGGAAAAAGCAAGTAATCTAATTAGTTGTGATGTTTTATAGAGAGCAAAGAACTCTGAAAAAAGAATAGAGGTTTCTGTTTTGGAAGCACTTGGGAAAAGGATGTAGTCTAAATCCACGAAGACATTTATATGTCTCTCAGAGTCCATAAATAACTTGACCCCTAACTTTTTAAGGTTTTTTCTGATACTATATTTCATACTTAAAACAGTTTGTGTTCTACAAATAACAGCTTCTGTTCATTTTTTTAATTGATTTTCCTCAGATAATATTTAGAAAAGACTGGATTTATATAGGATCCTTAGGGTCATGCACAGGTATACGTTGCCCTTAGTACCATCTTTAAAAAAAAAATCTATCAATATACCAAAATCAAAACCACTCATTTTGATATCTAGTAACTGTCATCTCATACAATTTCTACGGTCACTTTCAACTACCAACTACCCATTGTATTACTTAAACTAGCATCTTAAAGTAAAGAATGCCCTAACTTACCCCTTCATTTGATCTTGACTTTATGAGATAAAGATGGTAAACAGTATCCTCCCATGTGACCACATTCAAATCAAAGTCCTCTCCATAAGCCGTAGAAACATTCGTACTGTTTATTACTCAGGTACTGTGTTGAGTGTTAAGATGCCCATGTAAATGCTTATACGGTGCTTGAAATTGCACCCGTTTGAGGGAAGCAAGTAAATTGAATGACTTGTCCTTTAAATGAGGAGAGTAAAAGAATTAAAATTCTCAAAAATACTCTCAATTCCAGAAGTCTCCTCTTTAGAGATTACTCCCTTTCAGCCTTGGAAGTTTAGGGCAGCAAAATCATTTTCTTCAGAATAGATAAAAATACATAAGGGGTCAGTACCTCTATATTATTTTCTTATTGTAGCCCATTTGCCTGGGTCCCATTCCTTTATATTCCCTTCGACAAGATCCTGACAGATAGATAGGTTTTGTGTCTAGAAAATGTCCATCTCTAAATCAACATTTGTATTCACTGGCTTTTACACCATGACTGACTGTGATAGAAAGGAGATGGAGCAAAACTACTTGTGCTGTAGGTGTGATGATTTTCCCGTGACATCATAAGCTCCTCCCTTTCTACGGGTGCGGACACTTTTTCTGCTCCCTCCTTTTCTCACTAAGGACTAATTAGGGAAGTAGGCTTGAAGAATAAACTCACTATGGAGAAGGAGCTGCTGCACTGATACACAGTGAAAGGTCTCAGTTTCAGACTGAACTTTCAACAGCGGGTAAGCATTTATTTATTAAAATATTAAATTTCAAATCATTGGTTATAACTGCAAGAAGAAATGAGAGAAATAGAAAGAGGAGAGATAAAATTCGACATTATATAGGAAGAGTAAATTATAATTAGGTTTAGAGGAAAAGATATTTTCTTTCCGTTTTTGTTTTCTGGTGTTATTGCTTTTTAAATTTTTTTAAATTTTGATATTTTTATATTATGAAATATAAAATTCTTTGCATTGTGATATGGGTACACCTAGAGAAACAGATTAAGAGGGAAATCTCTCTAAACAGAAAAACCTACCATCTGAAAAATAATTACTAGCATTGGATTGCAAGCACTTTAGAAAAAAGAACGTTTTTCCTTCATCAACAAACATCCATTATTGTATAAATGATGTGTTACACCACAAAAACAGAGATCTTATGTTTTATGTATAAGATTTAAAAGTTTCCCAGGAGCAGGTTATGCTTTCCTTGTCTGATTAATATTAATCAATAAAATATTTTAGGTGCTCGCTGTGTGCTGATGGACACTTAAATACCCCAAAGAAACTTCAGTTCCTAAAACTTACATGAGTATAATTATTTTCCTTGACAAAGACTTCAGTTAGTAAGCCTGCTGTTGCTAACAGTTTGGCTAAAGGATTTACGAACCTTTACTTTCCAATTCTAGAACACATTAATTATGGGGAATTTATAATTGATTGGTAGGGATATGACAATCT